ATTTTATTTCTTCAACTCTTTGTGAGCCAACCTGGTTTCTCACTTATTGCTACCCTTTTTTCTATTAGGAATATGTTTACATTGAATATTTAAAAATATAACTTTAAATATTTTCCACATCTGATCAGTGTCTCCAAATAACATCAGCACCCATAATTTAAACCCAGCTTCACATCCCAAAGTGTATGACTTTACTAAAGTAAACTGGGACAATTTAAGACTAATCACGGACTCACTTTTACCTAATGTTAAAACTCTGCCAATAGTTGTCAAAATATAGATATCTACATGACAGAAATTTGAAACAATATTACAAAAGCTTTAGAAAATATCGTCTCAACCAGACAGAAAAAATCTAAACATTAATAACAGGCAGTTAACATAACAAATTCATGACCTCAGAAAAAACAAAAGGCGCTCACATAGATAGTTTATACAAATAAGGAACACAAACTTTAAATCCTTAATTAGTAATACAAATAACAATAAAAAAAGAAAGGTTAAGAGAGAGAGGTTGAAATAATTAGGTGCCATCAAGGTGAAGTCAAAGTGACTGAAGAAGTTGATGATGACGAAGTGGAACCAGATATCGATATTAAAGCAGAGCAGGAGAAAGATCACAATTTGAAGCCAATGATTGATTTTCTAAAATAATACTGCAGCAAATGCCGGCGAAGACAAAGCTAAACTATTTAGTGATTACTTTATAACAGTCTTCACCAATGAAGCAATTGGATATTTTTGGAGAAATTTTACAATTGCCTTAGTTTTTCTAATATTCAAGAGATAAGAAAGAATCTATAAAGATTTAAGTATTCTAAGTGTGATACACATACATGTAGAAATGGCGTAAGTAAGGATGCCTGTATTACGAAATTAGGTCAAGAACTAGGCGAAGTCCAGTTAATGGATTAGTTAGTATTGGGAATCACAAGTTAAGCACTGTAAAGGCTACTAAAAAGTTTATGATAGCATCTCAAACCGTGCTTTGATATGAGATCTGTTACTCCAGACCAGTGTAATACTAGAAGTAAAAAGGCAACTGGAGCACTTACCATCACAGTAACCAATTACTTGAGAGTTTGGTTCTTGTTTTGGATTATCCTGGGAAGTTGCACAAATTGACCAATAAAGTGTTAGAACTACATGCGGGTAGTTAGGAATACTATTTGGAAGGTCGAAATAATACAGAGAAATTATAGTATAAAAACTCGTGTCTGGAGCTAAAAATCAGTTCGCCTGAAAGAATCAAGGTTCCCCAAAGAGCTGGTAATAGTTCCAAGCCAGAATTCTCCAAGCAACCACGAATATGAAGATTTCCCACCTCCAGAAGTATACCAGTCCAACTTTGTTGTAAGTATAGAATTGCTTCTCTCTTGTTCAATTAATGTAGTTTACTAAAGGAAGTTAATGCTTATAATAGAAAGAAATATTCTATATATATTGGTTAATAGTGTTTAAGTGAAAAGTAGAATTGTGAGAAACTAACGGTTTAGTAAATGTTTAACCATTGATGTTAAAAGTATATACTGTTGCGTCCGCGAGGTCACGTGACTAGTGTCACGCCACGTTTCTAGAACTATCCCGTTTCTTCGGGAGTGCTCTAGCATTTACTAGATTGGGGGGGAGGGGTCTGATATATATATAAGATGGTCATGGCGTGACGTGATAATGTGTGTGTTTGTAGTGAGTAATTGAACTGCAGTCAGATAGTATTGTTGAAGTTGAGCACGTTC